CATCCAATACACTCGCGTAACTATGCTACCTCGTCAACGAAAGCGAGCGGATAATGAAAGAATAATTGACCTTCCAAGACGCAAAAAAGCTTTAAGTTTAGTGGGCTGGATAGTCGGACTTGAAGTTCTTTCCCTGGCTGCCTGTTATTGGGGATTCGACCGACTCAACGCATCGTCCGGTAAGCTTAACCCTATCATGTCATTCTGCAATCACCAACTGTTAACATTTTCACCTTTTTCTTTCTTTGGGTGGGTCTAAATGAGTGAAATGTAGGCAATTTTGATGTTTAGTCTAGAAAACTTGTCATGAGTAATGTATTTCCTTCATTGATGCTGTAAATTTTTATTGTTGGTTGACAGTAGTCTTTGGGGGCAACAGATAAAGCAGAAGGTTCTAGTGTTATTGCAGATTTGCGTTTGTGTTGCACCTTAGTGATTCGGACCTACTGTCGTATTTTTATTATTTCCATTTCCCTTAAAACTGCATCATAAACTGCATTCCACAGCTTAATCCTTTCAGTCATTAAAGTCTGTCTTCTGTTACAGATAACCGAAGGAAATTGAAGAACTTCAGCCCTTCATTATTGGAAGGTATGTTAAAAGTTGATTTAATCTACATTATCAATGAATAAATTTCTCTTAAGATTGTATTTTGTTTTTATTTATCATTGGTTTAGGTTACTATTACATAAGTGATACATTAGCTGGTAATAAGCTCCGAGAGGAAGACCTTGCTCACTGGGCTAGTAAAGACAATAATTGGGAGGAGAATGGCAGCCGTTAGACAATTGTTTTATATTTTTGGTGGAACTGGTTTGGTTGCGTATTGTGCCATGGCTTCTTTCAGACCAGATGATAAAAAAATGGAGGTGAGCATGGCAGCTTTTCGTTTTGTGCTCACATCTTATGGGTTGCATTCACATTCTACTTAGTCTTAAACATTTAGTCGGGAGTCAGTCAATAGATTTTTCAGATATGAATGCTACAAGCCTTGAGTCACTTTATTATATTAAAGTTTTACCTTGTACTGTATTCTTATCCATGAACAGTTGCAATGAAATTCATTTCTGAAGTATTTTTTATCTGTTTCAGGATTTAAGAGGCAACAACTCTGGGGCAACATCAGGTCAAAAGTTGTCACCTGCTGATATCATCCGTATTGCTACACAGTCTGATAAACCTCTTTACAAACTTAATAAGAAGGAGCTCGATGAGCATATAAAAAGTCAGGGTAAAAATTGAGCTCTTTAATTATTAATTAGTAGTAGATTGAAAATCTACTTAGTATGGAGGCATCAGCAGATCTTATGCCTGAAAGGCTCCTACGGAGAGGGCGAGAACTTCAATTTGAACGTCAACGCAAGAAGCAAGACAGAGAATTAGAGGATACCAACAGAAAAGCTTCAAATTACTTCTTGGATCAATTTTCCAAGAGTCATCTTGAAATAGAAGATGAACTCAATAATCTAGCTAGTGGTGTTGTTGAAAATTCTCTTATTCCCTCTTCTATTCACAAAATTAGCAAGGATATCCAGACACTTCAGAAGCACTTCTCTGCGTCTACCATGATATTATGTTTACATGATGTTCGTAAATCTCAAGAACGCATCCAAATGTTACAACAGAGATTGCATGAACTTGAGGAACAGCTCCTTCCCAAAAAGAAGTTTGGTTTCAAGGCAAGAAAGCCTGTGAACAAAGAAACTGTTCATGTTAAGGTTGCAGATGAAATTGATTGTGGCGAGACACTTCAAAAAAAATTGATTGAGAATGATTTTGGCGTTAAAAATAAAACTAATGAAAGTATTATCATGCGGGGGAATTCTATCTTAGATAAAGATGTTGTGCTTCAAAATTTAACAGGATGTACTGTAAAATTAATGGGCTCTCCAGGTACTTTGCACATGTCTAATATGCAAGGTTGCACCATTCTCTCTGGACCAATTGTCAGATCAGTCCTAATCGAAAACTGTAAAAATTGTAAATTTGTTTTGCCCTGCCAGCAACTGAGAGTCCACAGTAGCAGTCAATGTGATTTTTATTTGCATGTCACTAGTAGAGCTATCATTGAAGACACTGTCTCTGTCAGAGTTGCTCCCTACAATTGGACCTATGATGAAATTGACAAACAATTTTCTTTGTTAGGGTGGGATTTAACGAAAAACCATTGGGATTCCATGGATGATTTTAATTGGCTTGCAAGTGATAAACCCTCTCCAAATTGGTGTATATTGCCCGAAAGTGACCGTGAGATTTGGAGCTGATGTGTGACTGTTTGTTATCTAGTTATTGAATGGAATAAAATTCACTCACATTTACCCAAATGAGCAATTCTTTTTTTTCACCTCTTTTAAAATCCACTCACGGAGTGAACACACGCGCTCCTTGACCAGTGCTGAACGACTGTATCCATTTAAATAAACTATTCGGGTTAAGTTGACATGTATGCGGGAAACAAGAAAACATAATCCCAATGTTGTAGCATAGTGATTTTCGTTTTCTCGTTTCCCGAATTCTTATTCATCTCAGCTTTACCGAAATGTCGAAAACACAGAATTGTAAAGACGATTTGTTCATGTTGGTAACATTCACATTGCAAGAAGAACAAAAAAAAATAAATAATTCAATCTATCCAGTTCTGGTTGGGAGCTCTGTGTTGTCAGGTTACGCGTGATCCCTGCTCGTCGTGTGATTTATTGTTATTAATATCCAGAAATAAGTCTTCAATCCAAACAATACAAACGTCCACAGCGAATTGTAGATATTCGTGTGCAGGAGGCATCAGTTCAAAACGTCAACACCCCAGGATGCTGCCGACTTTCCATGAGAGCGCCGTGGTGGCGGCCCACGCGGTCGTGAAGTGGTGAGTACCGTGTCTTGTTCAAGCTGATCGAAAGGCCTGTCCCATCTTGGCAAGCAGGATGATTCCGCACAGTGGCTAGTCTTCTCTTCTCTCTCCCACCTTATGACAGTCACCCATGAGTGCGACAAGGACAGTACGAAAGCGCTGTGCAGAATCACCCTGAAGGTGCTCCAGCCACACGAGTGTCTTTGTCGATTTGACGCGGTTGCGGTCCACCCTGACTATGCTGCTCAGTTCGTTCGTTGGCGGCACCCCTCGAAGGACAAACCAGAGCGAACGCGTTCAGCCCTCTATTCAACCCGAGCAGGGGCCGAGGGGGGGGGGGGAGACTGCGGGACAATGGCGTGTCATATCGTAACCTCCTCGCGACACCCCGTCTTTCTCTACCCGAGCCGCCGCCGCGACAGCGCGCTCAAGGCTCAAGTCGGCGGCGGGGCGCGGGGCTCGTGGGGCGCGAGCTTGGGGCGGCTGGAGCGCTAGGCAACCAGTCCGACTCGGGCCGTCGGGGCGAGCGGAGCGCGGGACAGAGCAGGGCCTGTGGCACCCCAGAGGGGCACGTGGTGGACGCGGCCGCCGCGCCTCGCGAGGTGAAGCTCGCGGCCCGGGCCTGCAGGTCACGGCGGCGGCGACCCTGCCGGTGGGGCCCACAAGGGCCCGCGGGGGCCCCAGTGCTTTACTCGCCGGTGTCCGGAGACAGGCACCTCCACGTCGACCACCACCTGCACGTCGGCGACCCGCCCGCCCGCCCGCGACTGGAACTGCGCCGTCGCGGAACAGGGCGAGACCGTGAGGTAAGGGGCCGTTCAGATACAAATATTATGCCACTCCCCCCAGCCCCACCCCCAATCAGGTTCACGATGACCAATGGAGTTGATTTAGGGACGGACTCCATCATGTTTGCACCCTCGCGTCAAAGTGGCCGAGCCCGCTGGGCGGCTGCCGCGCCGGAGGGGGATCCTGTTGGCTTTCTTGAGGTGGTCCGGGCCGGGTCTCGTCGCAAAGGCACGACGATTGGGGGGGGGGGGGTCTTTTCTCTGAAGAGACGGTCAAGAAAAAAGAACAAAGCGGAAAACAAATCGCATTAGTTGAGTTATTGCTCAGGAAAAGAAAGAGAGAGGCGTCTGAAGTTACTGCCATATGTGGCTGCGGAGGAAGGGAAAAGGGGGAAAAAAAGGGGGGGGGGGTGAGAGCACTTCTCTATCAAATTACATCGCTAAGACGAAAAGGATGGACGGGGTGGGCGAGGGGTTTGAAAGAAAAGACGGGGGGAATCGAGAGAGGACAAAGAGGCCAGATTCAGAAAATGACTGGGGGAGAGGGGGGGTATAGGAAGTTTGCCGAAGTCCAGCTCCTCTTCCCTTGTATTCGAGGAGCCAAGCCAGGACTAGCCCAAGGACCCGAGGTTTGGCCGATAGGCGTGGCTTTGGCTACCAGGCGGGGCCGGCCGGGCCCACCCCCAGGCAGGACCCGAGCTCGGCGGGGCGCGCGAGAGTCGACGACGCACAAGCTGCTTCATCCGAGCGCTGATTACCTCAAAGTTTGCTTTCTCCCTGATACAACGTGTTAGTTGTTACTAGTTGCTACCCCTCCCCCTTGCACCCC